TTTTCAGATCATGAAATCCTTCCTACAGATCAATTATATTTGATGTGAGACATTAATGTTGTAGGGATTGTAGGGAGTATATATAAACACAAACAAAAACATTTTTATTTTTAATTCTCTATATGGAGCTGCCTTCAGATATCTTCGAAAGGTTGCATAGTTGCTGATCTCCTTAGATCAGGGGGTCTCATAACTCCATACCCTCCAACATTTCACCGATGATATCCTAAGGATATCGGTGGGACATTCTGGGATCAAATCAGAAACTGGGATGACTTCTATAAATCTGGGACTGTTCCTGCAAAATAGGGGCATTTGAAGGGCCTGTGTGGCCTCTCTAGTATTGTTGGGGAGACGAGTGGAATGGATCACATGAAGAAAATACTGATTTCATTTAAATAAATAAAAAAGCTCCAATAACAATTAATTACTAGCATGAACGATCAGAATGGAAAGCCTTCTGAGATAATTTGTAAGAGGGGTGGTATAATCAGGTTTGGTTTTCAGTTATTATCGGGAAAAATAACACAAGATTAAGTTGGGGACAAGTCAAGGAATATATACACCCACCCACCCACACACACACATATATATATATATATATATATATATATACACATATATATACACACACACACACACACATATATATATATATACACAAAATAATAATAATCTGACATTAAAAATAAATTAAAAATATGTAAATAATACTCACATTGGGTTGCATCCAATGCTGTACCTATTCAGAGCAGACCCATGAAGTTAATGGGCATGACTGACTTAGGTACATTAACTTTAATGGGTTCATTCTGAGTACAACTTAGTTGGATGTAGCTCATGGTTCCCGCAGGATAGGCTAATACTTGGTATGTTTAATAGTCCTTAAACCAGTGTCATTTTTCTAGGAGGAGTTGAGAATGGCAATGGTGCCCACCTGAGAGGTGTCGGAACTGAGTTCCGGCGAGTTCTGGTTGGAAAAAAAGCTGTCCCTTAAACTGTACAACTACAATGGCAGACCTACAATTTCAGACCTTTAAATTTCTGCCTTTTCACCGCCTGTTGATTGTGCTGTACAGCCTTTCTTTTCATATCAGATTCTTTTTTTAAAAAAAATCCCAAAAATAAGAAATCCCCCCGTCTGTTTCATCCCTCTTTTTTCTTCTATAAAGCAAGATCCAGAGAGCAATAATGTAAATAATATTGTGTCAGCTGCCCGGTATAAATCCACTACTAATGCACAATTATTTTATCAATGACATGTTGCAGAATGCAGTCACACACAAAGAAAACCCCACTAGTCTGGAGGGGCTCTTAATACAGGCAAGATTTCATCCTTGCTTGAATTTTAAAACAAACAAAGAACCATCACATCATCTTCCTAGATTACAATTTTGGTCCAAGCAACAAAACAGAGGTGTATAGCCTCTCCCAACAACACCCAAATGCTCACTTGCTCTCTCACGCAGGAGGGATTGCATTTTGCAACGTGAGACACACACCACATACAATGCAAAAATAAAAGTAAAATAATTATTGGCAACAAATATGCACTAACACCTATGATGGCACCCTGTAAAGTCATAAATCTGCTGTGGTTCCATCATCTTAAGGGTCAGATAAATACACTTCAATGGCTGTTTGAGGAAAATAAAAATGGGGAAAGGTATTACAAAACAACAACAAACCTATGGTTACATGAAGCATACTCAATAAACACACAAGACGTAACCGGATGTACTTTTAAATAAATAAGGTATACTTCATAGTATCAAATTGTAGATTTTAATGGAAGTGTCTGTTCATAGAGTCCAATAATTCACATGAAGGGTTGTTACAGTTCCACAGAATCCTTCCACAGAGTCTAAGACAAGGATTTCCGGAATATTAGCCTTGTTTTGCCATCCTAGGCTTCTCTGTGACCCTTCCCCTCTGGAGGGAGGTGGGACCGATTCAGATGGTCCGCCCCCGCCACTTAATGGATCCAAATGGTTTCCAGAGAGTGGTAGGGGATGTTTTATCCCATGTTGATGGCCTTTCAGCTGATTCCCTGGTGGCCCGCTGGAATGTGGAGTTAACCAGGGCTATTGACTGTTTGGCTCTGAAGCGCCCTCTCCGATTGCATGGAGCCCGGACAGCCCCGTGGTTTTTCACGGATCTGAGGGCAATGAAACAATCGTTGAGACGGTTAGAGCGCCGGTGGCGGATAACCCATTCTGAATCTGACCGGACACGGGTTAGAGCTCAATGTAGAGCCTACCATGTGGCGATAGCATCGGCGAATAAGATCTTCTTCACCGCCTCTATTGCATCTGCGGAAAACAGCAGCAGGAGACTCTTTCAGGTGGTTCGCAATTTATCAGAACCACCTGCTCCATCAGGGCCCAATACGGGCCACATGATCTCCTGCAACGATTTTGCAAAGTTTTTTTTGCAGATAAAGTCGCTCAGATTCAAGAAGAGGTAGACTCCACCGTGGGAGCAGGGCCGGGATGGGAGAGTGCTAGAGTCCTGTCTAGTCAAGTTGAGTGGGATCAATTCCAAACTGTTACCCCCGAGGATGTGGACAGGCTGCTTGGACGAGTGAAACCATCCACTTGTCTCCTTGAGACAATCCTGCCCATCCTGGCTTATAAAAGCTAGCCGGGAAGGACTGGGCGATGGGCTTCGTGGGGTGGTGAATGCTTCCCTCCGTGAGGAAGCCTTCCCAGACCCACTGAAAGAGGTGGTTATTAAACCGCTTCTGAAAAAACCAAGTTTAGATGCGGCCACGATGACCAACTATCGCCCAGTCTCAAATCTTCCATTCTTGGGCAAGGTGATTGAGCAAGTGGTTGCTGAACAACTCCAGGCACGCCTGGAAGAAGTGGACCATTTGGATCCCTTCCAGTTGGGATTCAGGCCTCATCATGGGACTGAAACTGCCTTGGTCGCACTGGTTGATGATCTCTGGCGGGCTAGGGACAAAGGTGAGAGCTGTTTCCTAGTTCTGCTGGATCTCTCAGCGGCGTTTGATACCATCGACCATAACATCCTTCTGGACCGTCTTGAGGGGCTGGGAGGTGGGGGCACTGTCATACAGTGGTTCCGCTCCTGGGCCGTGTTCAGAAAGTGTGTGGGGGATGAGTGTTCAGACCCCTGGGCTCTCACTTGTGGGGTGCCTCAGGGTTCTGTCCTCTCCCCCATGCTTTTCAACACCTACATGCAGCCGCTGGGAGAGATCATCAGGGGGTTTGGGCTGGGTGTTCATCAGTATGCGGATGATACCCAGCTCTACCTCTCTTTCAAATCAGAACCAGTGAAGGCGGTGAAGGTCCTGTGTGAGTGCCTGGAGGCGGTTGGAGGTTGGATGGCGGCTAACAGATTGAGGTTGAATCCTGACAAGACAGAAGTACTGTTCTTGGGGGACAGGAGGCAGGCAGGTGTGGAGGATTCCCTGGTCCTGAATGGGGTAACTGTGCCCCTGAAGGACCAGGTGCGCAGCCTGGGAGTCATTTTGGACTCGCAGCTGTCCATGGAGGCACAGGTCAAATCCGTGTCCAGGGCAGCTGTTTACCAGCTCCATCTGGTACGCAGGCTGAGACCCTATCTGCCTGCAGACTGCCTCGCCAGAATGGTGCATGCTCTGGTTATCTCCCGCTTGGACTACTGCAATGCACTCTACGTGGGGCTACCTTTGAAGGTGACCCGGAAACTACAACTAATCCAGAATGCGGCAGCTAGACTGGTGACTGGGAGCGGCCGCCGGGACCATATAACACCGGTCTTAAAAGACCTACATTGGCTCCCAGTACGTTTCTGAGCACAATTCAAAGTATTGGTGTTGACCTTTAAAGCCCTAAACGGCCTCGGTCCTGTATACCTGAAGGAGCGTCTCCACCCCCATCGTTCTACCCGGACACTGAGGTCCAGCTCCGAGGGCCTTCTGGCGGTTCACTCACTGCGAGAAGCCAAGTTACAGGGAACCAGGCAGAGGGCCTTCTCGGTAGTGGCACCCTCCCTGTGGAACGCCCTCCCACCAGATGTCAAAGAGAACAACAACTACCAGACTTTTAGAAGACATCAGAAGGCAGCCCTGTTCAGGGAAGCTTTTAATGTTTGATGTATTAGAGTATTTTAATATTTTTTTTGGAAGCCGCCCAGAGTGGCTGGGGAAGCCCAGCCAGATGGGCGGGGTACAAATAAATAATAATAATAATAATAATAATAATAATAATAATAATTAAAGAAGCTGTCACCAATGTTTGCGGTGAGTTTTGTGGGTGGCTATCTCTCGTACCTCCTAATTTGGAACTATTATAGATTTATTGGTTTCAATTTGTTTTATTTTGATCTTGTCGTGAGCTGCTGGAGAGAGGCAGGGAGACCTGTTTTATACAAATGTCACTGATGCCTCTGAATAAAAGGAAACTGCTGGAAACTGCTCCGGCACTTGGGTCCTGCTTGCAGATGTCCCACAGGATGCTAAAATGGGCCATTGGCCTGATCCTGCCTTTGCACCTTAGCATGAGCTGAAATTCCTCATGCTGGCTGCCTGCCTTTGTTCTTGGGAATGAAGCCACGTGGATAAGCAGTGTGCAACCTACAGTTATTTTTATTTTTATTATTATTATTAATATTTATTGAGTTTTCATACAAAAACAAAAACATTGAAAGAAGAATTTTAAAATACAAAATAGAAAAACAAGAAAATAAAAAATAATAAAAGACCAAAAAAGACAGCCAAAAAAAAAGAAAAAGAAAATTAAAATAAAATCATCCTTATTAAATTGACAACCTCCATTAACTTCTTTTCAGGACTTCCTCCTCCTCCCCTCTCTTGTTTCTTAATTGATAATTTTTACAGCAAATCCTTTCCATTATTTCATAACAATCTGTCATTACATTGCCTTACTCTATTTCCATCTTATCTTGTGAAAACCTTAAAACCTAAAACTTATATTCTACATTTACCAACCTCTCATTATCATTACCTTTTTGCATATCTTTTACCATTTTTTACAAAAGCCATATAGTTTCATTTCAACATTTTTTCAACATTCATAAACATTCCAAATATTAGAAAAAAGAAAAAAGAATAAGTCAAACACAATCCAGTCATCTTCCAGCGTCCCCTCCTCCTGGTCCCGGGATTGTCAGTCCTTTTTATTTCATTAGTCAAGCTCATTAACCTGGTAGTCTCGTGTCCAAGGCCCTCAAATCTCTTTCATGCCCCTTTCGCAGCTCTTCTTGATATTTTCCTTTCACTCGTGGATACTCCAGCAAAAAGATACTCTTGACCCTTTTCAACAAATCAGCCCCATACCCATCGTCCAAGCCAGACAGCAGATAGTACCTCTTCACATTCCCTCCAAAATTGGAGGCCCCAACTACTCCAAACCTCCGACGACCCATCACCAGACTCGGAAAGTCCAAATATCCATACATAGGGGGGTCAATCCAGCCCCCCATTTCCAAAGCTAGCCAAACTCCATCTTTCCCAGTCTGGTTTCTCCCAAGTTCATCCATCAAGTCCAGAGGCTGGTTTTTCTGCCGGACCAAAAGTCCCTCCATCTCTGGGGCCCCCAACTCTACAGCATCCTCTTCCTTCATCTGCCCTGCCAGAACACCCTCCTGTTCAAAGTCCTGATTGGACTTCAAATAATTTCCAGTCGCTTGTTCCAATGCTCTGGTAGCCTCCGTCATCAAATCCGTCTTCTCACACAGCCGATCCAGCTGGGCACTTAGTTTTGAGAAACCCTCCAACAGTATTTGTAAAAGCATTGTCCTTCAAGGTCACAAATCCTTTCTCACGGTGATTTTTCAGTTGCAAGCTCTCTAAGTTACAGTTTCACCAAATCCCACTAGGGGGAAAGCTTCTGTTTCTTCTTTTAAGAGCAATAGCAACACAATTTCTCTTTCCCAAAGATATTTTGTCCAAAATTTTCCCTTTAGAATGCAAAAGGCAACAATAAAGTCACAATGTTACTCTTCTTTTAACTATCTGTCAAACTGGTCAGCGAACTTCAAAACGTCAGTTCTGACACCCCGCTCCAGGTTCAGGGCGGTGGAAAATTACTTTGTTTTTAAACTCACTTCCGCAGGATTAAACAGTCCGGAAAAAAAACCCCTTCTTCTCCTGCAATCAAAGGGGGGTTCAAGAATCTTAAATGGTGAAATCTAGTCCTCCAAAAATTTATTTTTTAGGCTCTAGTGCACTTTATCTTTGCTTTCTTCTAATAACAAGAGAACGGAAGGCTGACTTCCTGTTTAGACCTTCCCGTTCCAAATCCAGATTAGATCAAATTTCAAGTCCAATTTGTTACTGATCACCAGTCTTTATAAAAATCCAGCTCTTCAATATTCAAATACTCACAGGTGATTGTTTTAAATGCCAAATTGTCCCAGGAAAAAGGCAGCGCTCTCCGGCAACGGCAGTGCGGCTTCGCTCCACGAAAGTAGCAGACGACTCACAGCACCACACCACTTCCCCACTCTGGAGCCCGTTACCGGGCTCCTTTGTAAGATAGAAGGGCGCAAACGGTGCCCGCCGAGTCCCACGGCCACAGGCTTCCTCCGCCTGTGGTTTTTAAAGGGTCCCCGCTGCGCCGTAGCGGTAGGACCCGATTTCCGTGGAGCGGGTTCCCTTCAATTCGAAGGGAATTCCGCCATTTTCCGGAGGCGCCACCCCGGAAGTCGCAACCTACAGTTATTTAGCACAATCTTTCCTAAACCTTGGGGCTCCAGCAGTTTATGGACTATAATTCCCATCATTCCCGACTGGTGGACTTGCTAGCTAGGGATGATGGGAGTTGTAGTCCAAAAACGGCTAGAGGCCCAAGGTTAGGAAACACTGGTTTAACAGGCCTGTGTTGCTTTGTTTATTGCATTGTGCTTAAATCCCTTTCTCTTCCTCCCCATTTTCATCCTCACAAAAAAGTTATGGAGGCAAGTCTGGCTGAGAGTGTGTGACTGGCCCAGGCAACCCAGTGAGTTTCATGGTTGTATTTCATGTGAATCCTGGTCTCCAAGGTCCAACACCCTAACCATTAATTCCAGGCCTGCTCTCCTGTTTGCAAGCCCATCGAAATCTCCCCACATTCAGCACTGGAAATCCTAAATAAATAATACGCAAGAAATTTAACACCAACGAATTATTATTGAAATGAACTCAAAACGAAATGTTAATTTTAAGTTTATTTCAATAATCATTCATTGATATTAAAGGCCCACTAAAAAGTTTTCTATTCCGTCTGGCTTACACAGGCTCTCAAGGTGGCATATTTCTACAGCTATTAACTGATTTCTTATTCTTATTTAAATAATATTTATTTATTTATTTATTTATACATACATACATACATACATACATACATACCCCACTCATCTGGCTGGGTTTCCCAGCTGGGTGGCTCCCAGCAGAATAATAGTAATAGTAAATAATAATAATAATAACAATAATAATAATAATAATAGTAGTAGTAATAATAATAATAATAATAATAATAATATGCCAAACACTAAAAACGTCCACAAACAGAGCTGCCTTCAGATGTCTTCTAAAAGTCAGATAATTGTTTATTTCCTTGACATCTTATGGGAGAGCGTTTCACAGGGCAAACGCCACAACCGAGAAGGCCCTCTGCCCAACTTTTATATGGTTTTTAATGCTATTCCTTTGTGTATAATAGTTGCAAACTGCTCTGAAGTTTTTATAGATAACAGTAACGAAATATTTTCTATAAATAACAAGAAAAATACTTATTTCATTTAAGAACTGCATCCCACAAAGCACCCCAATTGTTCAATTACTAACAGTGAAGAAACATACCGGTATATAACACACACACACTTAACAATTTCACATGCAAAACAGGTGCAGACCGGAATAAAAATCTATACATATAAGGCTGAAAATATAACAGAGAAGGTGTCTATCTTCTCTATTATTATTATTAATTATTTCTCTACTTATATTTACTTATTAAATCATTTCAAGAGGTGGGGAAACATTTGTGTGTGTCTTGTACATCCAGTGCTGACACACGCTATTTATTATTTATTTAAGAAATGCTATGAAATGCTTAATTTTCAAAAAAATCTCCACATCACGGACGTGAAACAGAGACATGAATTATCCAATAGAATACATGTAAGATCAACATAATTTCCAAGCACTTACACATGACTGAACTGTGTGCCCATATAGACTTGTTGATATTGATATATCAAGTGGAGACCACTTAAAATATATAATAAAGTACCTGCCCAAGGTTAAACGGCAGGACGTCCCAAAAGATGGGCTTCCACGCAAGATCGACTTCCCGAGAAGCAACATGACGTGGCACTTGCAAAAGGACATGTTCAGCTTACCAAAAAGCTTCAATGTGCACATAAGGAACACGGTGATCCCTTAAGGAATCTGGGGCCAAGCTGCTAAGAGATTCGTGTACTAATGATAAAGACTTGGAATTTGGCCCAGGGTGTGTGTGTGTGTGTGTGTGTGTGTACACACACCAAACCCAAGGCCTATCCGACTTGGGCCCAACATTGGGCCCAACCTTTATCAACACAGGGGACACAGTCCTTCCCAGGCAACTTCCCAGGGGCCTGGTGTCAGCAGTGGGTGTGGTCAGAGGGGGAGGAACTACAAACGTGAACTTTTCCTTTGTTTCTGCTCACAGTCACACACCCCTCTCTTCCATCCAGGCAACCAAGCAGCCTTATCTGAGTTCAAGGACTCGTTCTCTCCTGGCAACAACAGTCAAGGAGGGTTTGAAGAAGAACCAACGGGGAAGGGGGGCCGTGTCCTGGGGAGAGACCTGAGGGCTGGATAGAGAAGCCCCGGGGAAATGGAGTTCACCTGAGGTTCCTTCTCTTCTTTAAAGTCCTGCAAGGCTCTTCTTTTGTCTGCACTGGGACAGACAAAACAAGACTACAGTGGTACCTTGGGTTACAGACGCTTCAGGTACAGACGCTTCAGGTTACGGACTCCGCTAACCCAGAAATAGTACCTCAGGTTAAGAACTTTGCTTCAGGATGAGAACAGAAATCACGCGGCGGCAGCAGGAGGACCCATTATCTAAAGTGGTACCTCAGGTTATGAACAGTTTCAGGTTAAGAACAGACCTCCAGAACGAATTAAGTTCTTAACCCAAGGTACCACTGTACTAGGTAAAAAGGAAAAGGACCCCTGGACAGTTAATTCTAGTCAAAGGCATGGCTGTAGCCAGGATTTTGGGAGGAGGGGGCAGGCCTTTTGTTAGAGGGGGCAGGCCTTTGGGGGGGGACAAGAACCTCAGTTTGCTATGTATTTTTATTTATTTTTATTGATTGGGGGGGACAGCTTCCCCTCCCTACCCCCTTGGCTACACCCATGGTCATAGGTGACTATGAGATGCGGTGCTCATCTTGCTTTCAGGCCGAGAGAGCCACTGTTTGTCCACAGACAGCCTTCCGCGCCAGCATGACTAAACCACTTCTGGTGCAACAGGACACTGTGACAAGTGCCCGATTACACGGAAATGCCGTTTACCTTCCCGCCGCAGCGGTACCTATTTATCTACTTGCACTGGCGTGCTTTCGAACTGCTAGGTTGGCAGAACCTGGGACAAAGCGACGGGAGCTCACCCCGTCGCGCAGATTCGAACCACTGATGTTCCGATTGGCAAGCCCAAGTGGCTCAGTGGTTTAGACCACAGCGCCACCCGCATCCCTACAAGGCTACTATTCTGGGATTTGTCCAGGGAACGAAACATAAGGAGAGCCTGCTGGATCAGGCCAGTGGCCCATCTGGTCCAGCATCCTGTTCTCACAGAGGCCAAACAGAGGTCCGTGCGTAACCCACAAGCAGGACCCCAGGGCAAGAGCACTCTTCACCACTGTGGCTTCCAGCAACTGGTATTCAGAAGAATCATCGCCTCCGACTGTGGAGGCAAAGCTCATAAGCCATTGATAACCTTTTCCTCCCTGAATTCGCCCCCCCCCAAGTGCTTTGCACATGCACAGAAGCTCCCTCGCTTCCTCTTACTCCAGGGCCACTGGAAACAGGCCCCAAAGCTAAGGTTTGGGAAAAGCCTTGAATCAAATTTGGGCAGCCGTAAACACAGCCAATCTTCTGAGGAGCGAAAATCCCACCCCCACCCCCCTTTTTGCCATCACCCCAGATTTCTGGGTCTTCTACTTTCTGTCCCAGCGTTCTTACCAGCGACAGCTGAGGTCTCTTCGGGATCCCCTCTCTTCTGCGCACTGACAATGTGGCAAACCAAACCAGATGTGGGGCTGACAGTTGACGCTGTTCCTTTTCTGTGGGAAATTCCCCTTCATAACTCACTGCCCACCCACCCGACCTTGCTCCAGGCAAGTCCGAAACTCTAGTGCCACCTAGTGACCAATTTCACGCAAGAGGGGTTTTGAATTTGTTTTCCCTTCACGTGCCAACACAGCTGCCTTAACTTTTCGTACAGTGCAATTTTGCATGCTGCGGGGGAAGTGGATAGAGAAATGCTTTCCAGCCTCTCATGAAACTAGAACTCGAGAATATTCAGCGAAGCAAGATGTTAGAAATTCAAGGCAAGACAAAATGAAGTACCTCTCCACACAGTGGTTAGTTCTACTACAGAATTTGCTTGGCAAGGAATAGCATCGGGCATCAACCTGGGTGATTAGAAGAGGGCTAGACAAATTAATGGAAGGCAAGGCTGGGTGATATATCAATACAGTAATACCTTGAAAGTCAAATGGAATCTATTCCGAAAGTCCATTTGACTTTCAAAATGTTCAGAAACCAAAGCATGGCTTCTGATTGGCTGCAGGAAGCTCCTGCAGCCAATCGGAAGCGGTGGAAGCCACGCTGGACACCTGGCTTCCGAAAATTGTTTGAAAACCAGAACACTCACTTCTGGTTTCTGATTGTTTGGGAGTCAAAACGTATGAGTTCCAAGGCGTTCAGCAACCAAGGTACGGCTGTATTTTGCCCCAAACCAGTTTGAAATCCATATTGTTGTATTGGTTTCATAGTTTTTCCGCCTGGCAATGTATAGTGAATCACGATGTCTGTGAGGGTGCGTGCACTATGCAAAAATCACAATGTGGGAAAAACTTTGAAGCCAGCCAGTGCCTCTCTATAGCACCATCCTTATTTCAGACACTGTGATATATCAGTATATCGTGATGCTTAGCTGGTGATATATCACCATGTTGAAAGCCAGATATCACCCAGCCCTAATGGGCACTGTTGGAGACAGGGTGCCTCTGAACGAACATTGCACAGAATCGCAAGAGCTGGTGTGCTCAGGTCCTGCTTTGAGCTGCCCACAGGAATCTGGTCTGCCACTGTGAGGATGCTGGACTAGATGGGCAACTGGCCTAATTCAGCAGGCCTCTCTTCTTCGGTTCTTATAATAGCCAGGCAATAGAGGAAAGACAGTCAGGGCCTGGAAGGAGAGGCATAATTTGAGGTTGGGGTTTGTTCTAGAGATCCTGTTCATTTTGGGCATTGCAGAGAGCTTAGACCAAGCATTTGTTCAGATCTGTTTACAGGGAGGTTAGGTTCAGGAACCCGGGTGGCGCTGCGGTCTAAACCACTGAGCCTCTTGTGCTTGCCGATCGGAAGGTCGGCGGTTTGAATCCCCGTGGTGGGGTGAGCTCCTGTTGCTCGGTCCCTGCTCCTGCCAACCTAGCAGTTCGAAAGCACGTC